AGACAAGTTAGCAGAAACTCCCAATCAGAACAGCAAAAAAAGAAAAATGAGAATAGTTTAAGAGACCCCCAGGAAAACAATTGTAACAACATTTATATCATAAGGATATCACAAGGAGAGGATAGAGCAAGGCATTGCAAATCTATTTGAAGAAATAATGACTGAAAACTTTCCTAATCTGGTTAAGAAAATAAACATATAACACTAGGGCATGCACAGCCTAAAACAAGATGAATCCAAAGAGACCCACACCATAATTAAGATTCCAAAGGTTAATGACAAACGGGAAATCTTAAAAGTTGCATGAGAAAAGCAGTTTTCTACAAGGGAGTTTCTATTAGCCAGTCAAATGATATCTTTGCAGGCAAGAAGGGACTGGCACGAAATATTCAAAGTGATGAAAATCAAGTACCTACAAACAAGATTAACCAGCAAATAATCCTTTAGAATCTAAGGAGAATAAAGGCTATCATTTAGAATCACAGGAGAGAGAAAGAGCTTCCCAGACAATAAAAAGCTAAAGTTCACCACTACCAAATGAATATTACAAAAAATATTGCAGGGACTTAAGAAGAAAAGGTAAAAATACATTAATTATAAAATGGCAATAACTACATACCTAACAATCAATATAAATGGATTACATGTTCACTAAAAGGACATAAGTTGGTTGAGTAAATAAGAAAATAAGACCCATTCATATGCTGCCTACAACAGACCCACTCAGATCAAAAGGCACAGGAAGTAAAGGAAAAAGATATTTCTGCAAATAGGAACAAGCAATATACACTGAGTGGCCAAATTATTATCTCTGAATGCATAATAATCTGGCCATACAGTGTGTGTGTGTGTGTGTGTGTGTGTGTGTGTGTGTGTGTGTGTGTATTAGAGGCCCAGTGCATGAATTCGTGCATGGGTTGGGTCTGGCCAGGGGGAGGGGACATGGGCAGTTGGCCGGCCTGCCTGCTGGTCGAACTCATAGTCAAGGGAACAATTTGCATATTAGTCCTTTATTATATAGGATATACACTGAGTGGCCAGATTTTTATGTGTTCAGAGATCATAATAATCTGGCCACTCAGTGTATATATCAGACAAAAATAGACTTTAAAAGAGGGGTGGGGAAACTTTTTTTCTGCCAAGGACCATCTGGATATTTATATATTATTAATATAATTCACTTAATGTAAATTTATGTTGCACCGGATCAGCATGGCTCAGTGGTTGAGCATCGACCTATGGACCACGAAGTCACCTGGCTTGATTCTCACTCAGGGCACATGCCAGGGTTGCAGGCTCAATTCCCCAGTAGGAGGTGTGCAGGAGGCAGCCAACCAATGATTCTCATTATTGATGTTTCTGTCTCCCTTTCTCTTTCTCTCTGAAATCAATTTTTAAAAAATATTTTATTGATTTTTTACAGAGAGGAAGAGAGATGGATAGAGAGTTAGAAACATTGATGAGAGAGAATCATCGATCAGCTGCCTCTTGCACACCCCCTACTAGGGATGTGCCCGCAACCAAGGTACATACCCTTGACCAGAATCGAACCTGGGACCTTTCAGTCCGCAGGCTGATGCTGTATCTACTGAGCTAAACTGGTTTTGGCTGAAATAAATTATTAATTTTTTTTAATTTAGGCAGTAGCAAGTGTTGACAAGGATATGAAAAATTAGAATCCACATACATTGCTAGTGGGAATATAAAATGATACAGCTGCATTGGAATACAGTTTGGCAGTTCCTCAAAAATTTAAACATATAATTACCATATAACTCAGGAATTTCACGTGTAGGAATATATTCAAGAGAAATGAAAACATGTTCACACAAAAACCCATACTCAGCTATTCATAACAACATTATTCATAGTAACAAAAAAATGAAAAATGGGCAAGGAGGAAGATGGCGACCAGCAGGAAAGTAGGGAGAGAGAGTGTGTGAATGAGTGAGGGGGTGATAGAGGTGTGAGTGGACCCTTGTGGGTGTGTGTGAGTGAAATAGGGACTGGGTTGGATCCTGCAGTTCTTCCAGAGGGCTACCAACCCGGGCGGTCTTAGATTGCAAAACCCCACGGTTGTTTCAGACACTCAGGGGAGGACACCAGCGACACAGAGACCATGCCATCTTGAAGATCAGAACTGCTTGAGACTTGAATCCTAGCCTTGTCACCACCCAGTCCGATCTCAGAAGCAAATCACGGCATTACAGCCACTCGGGTAGAAAACCTGCCATCCCATCTGCAAACCCGCGGACGCTGAGACCTCCACCTCCAAAGGTGTGCCGCTTGGCAGCAAAAACAACTCTGAGACCCTGTGGATTCCTGCAACAGAGAGGAATTGACAGGACTGCTCCAGCCATGAAGACAGAAGAGAAGCAGTCCAGAGATGGAATAGCAGTCAGCAGCTGTGCACCACTGCAGGTTACCCAGGACCAAACCAGAGAGGGTCGGACCTGCATTACCACCGTTTGCCCACCATCCAGAACTGAAATATCATTGCTGACATGTACACGTAAGGAACTGTTTGACATAGAAATTGGAACTCAAAAGAACTGCTGGCCCAGAAAGAAACTCACTACAGACTGATTCATTTGCCTCTCAGCATAACCATTATTGCTTGTCTCATTTTCGGTTCATATAAGTGTATTTCTAGTATTACATGAGCTCACTTATCTAGGGGAAATGATGAACAACATAGACTGATGAACAAGAACAGACCCAGAGACAGGGAAGCATCAATCAGACTGTTGAACCTCAGAGGGAAGGTAGGGGAGGGTGGGGATAAGGGGAAGAGATCAACCAAAGGACTTGTGTGCATCCATATGAGCCTAACCAGTGGTCACGGACAACGGGGGTGGGGGCATGCGTGGGAAGGGGTTTGGATGGGAATGGGGTGGGTGAGGACAAATATGTGATACCTTAATAAAGAAATTTATTTTAAAAATGAAAAATGTAAATGTCCATCAATGGATGAATAAACAAATTGTGTATTCAGAAAATATTATCCAGCCATAAAAATAAATGAAGTATTGGTACATGCTAAAACATTATACTAAGTAAAATAAGCCATATACAAAGGCCCACATAATATATAATTCCATTTTTATGAGAAAATGTCCAGAAGAGGCAAATATAGAAGTGGATCAGTGGTTCAAATTAAACTATAAATGATAAAATTAAACTATAAATCTATAACAGAAAGATAGCTGAAAAACAGATAAAATTAGGTAGCTAAACACAAATCTAACAATAGATTGCCGGCCTTTTATGGGGGGGGAAAAATCCTAAACCATTTGAAAAAGACGTCAAAAACACTTAAGTAAATGGAATGAGATTCTTTATACTTGCATAGGAAGACTTGAGTATCATAAAGATGTCAATTCTATCTGCAAAACTGGAAGAAGAAGAAGGAGGAGGAGGAGGAGGAGGAGGAGGAGGAAGAAGAAGGAGAAGGAAGAAGGAGAAGGAAGAAGGAGAAGGAAGAAGGAGAAGGAAGAAGGAGAAGGAAGAAGGAGAAGGAAGAAGGAGAAAGAAGAAGGAGAAAGAAGAAGAAGAAAGAAGAAGAAGAAGAAGAACCTTACCCAGGGAATGATAAACCCTGATGCGTTTTGAGACCATTAAAAAGCTCATTCTAAAAGAACCACGAACAGCCAACACAATCGTGTGGGAGAAAACTGCTCTACAGCTGTAGCGGTGAGTCAGTGCTGTGTTTGGCAGGGAAACTAGGTGACCAGTGCAATAGGACAGAGGCCAGACATCTGCCTCTGGGCTCCCTCTTTGAGATCGCTGTCGGCTTGTTTTTTAATTTCACTGCACCGGCTTCATAAATTGGGTGGTGGGTTCCCAGGCGTTCATTTTATCATTACCTGCGATCACTTAAACGTTCCATGTATTCTTTTATATGCCGCCAGGGTTACTGGAAATTATTCTAAAATAAGTGACAGAAATGTGGCTAGCCTCTAGGCTTCCTAGAATTCAATCCAGGAATCGAAATGCTTTGGGACGTATTTTATTTCTGCTTCCTGTTCCTTTTCTCTCTATAGTCCCTTAGGCTGCCTGTCCTCAAAGGCTGGAGCTAGAGAATCAGGCTGCTTTAGATTGATAGCGAAACAGTCATGTGACTAGGGTGAAATGTTCTCTGGCAGCCCAGGTTTAAAAAAGAAAAAAAAAAAGCTGGCTAAGAATTCCAATTAGTTACACTTATACTAAATGCAGTGACGTCTGGACCAATCAGTGTCATCAGCAGAATGGAGTTCTGTGAATGGAACAGTTGCCCGCCTGCAGTCAAGGGGACAGAGTCTGTCACCAGGAAAGTTGGAGTTCACAGGGCACACGGAACACTCAGCTCCCGCAGGTGACGACAGCGATTCTGAGACGGGTTGATGGGCTTTGGTGCTGCTGTGACAGCAGCTTTCCTAAGGATAAATCTGTCCATAACCTGTCCTTGACGCTCTTGGTGTGCTGCCCTGTATTTTCCTGTTTTCTTATGTAGCACAGAACCCCTTTATGTTTGAAATGAGCAGAGAAGTTACGGGAGCACATAAGTTAAAATCTATTTTATTTTCCTGTGCACCATCCTCCGAGATTTGGCATCGTTGTAAAATTAAATAAAAGTATTCACAACTTACAACAGAAGAAAGGTTGGCCTCAGGCTTTCTGTCTTTAGTCCTTGACAGTCGCTTCATTTTGTAAAATTGATAGATCCTATTGTGAGACCTTCAGGAGAACTCAAGAGCAAAGACGGCAAAGATAACCTGAAATGCCTACTGTCTAGAGATAAAGGTCATTGACATGCTGGGGAATGTTCTTCCACAGTCTTCCTAGGCATGCATACATTACATACATTCATACATAATACATATATTGATACAATTTTACATAACTGTTGAATCAGTCACTTTGGAAAGAAAACCTATTCAGCATTAAAATTTTATATCACTGTTAAAATGCCTGCTCTCCAAAATCACTTATTGGCGCTTTTTTTGTTTGTTTGTTAATAGGTAATGCTACAAGAATGTTACAGGAAGCACAAGTGCGTTATATTTCTCCAAAAATTTGTAATTCTGATAAGGGTTATGGAAATATAATTCCTATAACTTCATTTTGTGCAGGTGATGAAGATGGAATTTTTGATACTTGCAGGGTAAGACCCAATAATTTTCTTTTGAAATATTTTCTTGCTGAAACTGGTTTGGCTCAGTGGATAGAGCATTGGCATGTGGACTGAAAGGTCCTGGGTTCGATTCCTGTCAAGGGCATGTATCTTGGTTGCGGGCACATCCCCAGTAGGGGGTGTGCAAGGAGGCAGCTGATGGATGTTTTTCTCTCATCGATGTTTCTAACTCTATCCCTCTCTGTAAAAAGTCAATAAAATATATTTTAAAAAGAAAAAGAAAAATATTTTCTAATGCTAGAGGGAACTTGAAGAAGGCCTTTGATCACTTTCTGGTAAAGCCTTTTTAAAAAAAATTTTAGAGTGAGTAAGGAAGATTCAGAGATACACACACACAGAGGGAGAAACAATGACTTGATGTTCTCCTTATTTATGCATTCATTGGTTGATTCTTGTATGTGCCATGACCTGGAATTGAACCCACAGCCTTGGCATTGGGACAATGCTCTAACCAGCCGAGCTACCCAGCCAAGGCTGGTGATGTCTTAATTATCAATGTTTGCCCTGGGCGGTGTGGCTCAGTCTGTTGGGGTCATCAGGGCACATGGTTTTGGGTCCTGGTCAGGAGTGTGCAGGATGCAGCCCATCAGTGTTTTTCTCTCTCCATTCCTCTCAAAAAATCTTTTAGCCTACCTGGTGTTTTCAGGCCAAGGCTCTATCTACTGAGCAACACTGGTGAGGGCTTGTCTGTCTTTTTATTACCACCAATCAACTTATGAACCAGGAATTCACAGCTTGATTCCCAGTGAGAGCACATGCCCGAGTTACGGGCTCAATCCCCAGCGTGGGCTGTGCAGGAGGCAACCAATTAATGATTCTCATCATTGATGCTTCTATTTCTCTTTTCCTCTCCTTTCCTCTCTGAAATCAATACAAATACATATTTTTAAAATTTTCTTAAAATTTGTTTTATTTTTAAAAAGTTCTTTTTTTCTCAACCCAAATCCTTTCCAACCCAAAAACTTTTCTTCCTTTCTTTCCCATTACCACCTTTATTAAGGTACAATTTACATATACACAATTCACCCATTTAGAGCGTACAGCTCAATGGGTTTTCAGTATATTTATTTACAGAGTAGTGTAACCATCACCATCACCTAATTTTAGCACACATTTGTCACCCCAGAAAGAAACCTCCACTCATTATGAGTCACTCTTCATTCTCCTTCCACCCGCCCCCAGCCTGAGGCAACTACTAATCTTTAAAGATTTGCCTCTTCTGCAAATTTCATCTGAATGTATCATTCAGTATGTGGTCTTTTCTGATTGACTCCATTCACTTAAGCATGTTTTCAAGATTCAACCACATTGTGACATACATTAATACTCTGTTTATTTTATTGCCAAATAATGTGCTATTGTATGAGTAGACCATATTTTATTTTACATTTTTATTGATTTCAGAGAAGAAGGGAAAGGGATAGAAACATCAGTAATGAGAATTATTGATTGGCTACGTCCTGCACACCCCACCCTGGGGATTGAGCCTGCAATCTGGGCTTGTGCCCTGACCAGGAATCAAATCATGACTTCCTGGTTCATAGGTTGAAGTTCAACTGCTAAGCCATGCCAGCTGGCTGGGCCACATTTATTCATCCATTCATTAGCTGAAGGACATTTGAGCTATTTCCACTTTTTGGCTATTCTGAGTAATATTGCTATAAATGTTTCTGTATATGATTTTATGTGTTGGTATGTTTTAATTTCTCTTGCAAATTTCACCTGTGGGTGGAATTTCTGAGTGAATATTGAACATTTTGAAGAATTGCCAAACTGTATCCCACAGTGGCTGCACCATTTTGTATTCTTACCAGTAAAATATAAGGGTTTCAATTTCTCCACATCTTTGTCAGCACTTATTGCTTGTCTGTTTTTTATTTTGTTTTGTTTTGTTTGTGTGTGTGTGTGTGTATTTTGTTGTTGTTTTATTTTGTTTAAATTCTCATCCAAGGATATTTTTCCATTGATTTTTAGAGAGAGTGGAGGGGAGGGAGAGACAGAAAGAGAGACACATCCACGTGAGAGAGAGACATCAATTGGTTGCCTGACGCACACGCCCAACCTGGGCCCCAGGGTCAGGGATCAAGCCTGCAACACCTTCAGTTTTCAGGCCACGCTCTATCCACTGAGCAATACTGAAGCGCTGGTCTGTCCTTTTTATTACCACCTTCCTTGTGTGAAGTGGAATCTCATTTGGTTTTAATTTGAATTGCCCTAGTGACTAATAATATTGAGCATCATTGCATGTGTTTATTAGCCATTTGTATATTTTCTTGGGAGAAATGTCTACTCAAATCCTTCGCCCATTTTTAAATTGAGTTATTTACTTTTTTATTATTGAGTCATAAAAATTCTTTATATATCATGGATATAATTTCCTCCCATTCTTTGGACTGTCTTTTCACTTCCCTGATATTACCATTTGTAGCACAAAAGTTTTTTTTTTATTTTTTATGAAATCCAATTTATTTTTTGTTTAGACTTTCTGTATTCCTCTTTTCTTCACTACTTCTAAATCCATAAACACTTCATCCCTAAGCAATAACCCATGCTCTGATCTTTTCCTAATCATTCTTTTTTAAAAAAAAAAATATATTTTATTGATTTTTAACAGAGAGAAAGGGAGAGAGATAGAGAGCTAGAAATGTCGATGAGAGAGAAACATCGACCAGCTGCCTCTTGCACACCCCCTACCAGGGATGTGCCTGCAACCAAGGTACATGCCCTTGACTGGAATCGAACCTGGGACCTTTAAGTCCGCAGACCGACACTCTACCACTGAGCCAAACCGGCTTCGGCTCCTACTCATTCTTATTTCTAAAAATCTAGGGCTTATCCATCCTGTGTCCTTTTCCTTAAAAACCTTGCCGTTAGCCTGGCTGGTGTTGCTCAGTGGTTGAGCGTCAACCATGAACCAAGAGGTGACCAATTGGATTCCCAGTCAGGATACATGCCTGGCCCCAATAGGAGGCGGGCGATCAATGTTTCTCTGTCCTCAATGTTTCTCTTTCTCTAGCCCTCTCTTTCCTCTCCATGATATATATAATATCTTTAAAACTTTGCTGAGTAAAATAATACAGAATGCAATCTAATTTAATTGCATTCATAAGCAAAACATTTTCATGGTAAAAAAAAATAATTATTTAATGCTACCACATATAGAGAATTTTAAAATATTTTAGAAACAGTCTTTAACTTTTAGGCATTGTAAAAGTGAGCTCAGTGTCCTTGTTGCTTTGAGTGATTAACATCCTTAATAATGGTGTTTCAGCTGTTATATAGACAGTCTTGTAATACTCCGAGAGAGATTGTTATTGTGATACTACAGAGGGGATTAGCCATGTATTCCTAATATCATGCTCCATCCAATGTCAATACTTAGAAAGATGCCATTTCTTGCAAGATTCAGTTCATTTCTCTAGCTAGCAAACCACACACACCTAAAAGACTTTCATATATCTTAAAGATATATCTTTCACAAGCAATAGAAGTATTCTATAATAGTAGTGTCTATAATATTTTGCACATATCCTGAATCATATTTCTCCTGAGTAATTGTACAAAAAATTCCAAACAATTTGCTTTATAGTATTCCGGTTCAAAACTATACAGATGGCAAGTTCATCCACCAGCTGTGCGGTTCCTCTAAATACCAGGCCAGACTGGGTGTAACTGAATTCCTGTTTGAGTTGGGAATATAAAACTAAAAATCCATCGATCTTAGAGGTATATTGAAAAGGTATATTTATATAAATGTATGTTTAATGTGGTTAATTTGCTCCAGCTTTACTATATAAGGTCTACTAGAAGTAACTTACACTCTTTTGGGACTTTCTTAATAGGGTGATAGTGGTGGACCATTAATGTGCTACATCCCAGAACATAAACAGTTCTTTGTAATGGGAATTACCAGTTACGGATATGGCTGTGGCCGAAAACATTTTCCTGGTGTCTATTGTGCGCCATTCTTCTACAAAACGTGGCTGACACATCACCTCAACCAGACAAGGAACAAAGGCATATTTAATATAAACAGTCTACTCGGACAGGTCCTTGTTGCCTTAGGCTCTGCTGTCTTACTAGCAACTCCATGAAAATACTCTGAAGAAGCCGTGTTTTTCATAATGTCCCTTTCCGTGTTCTACATAATGAAAATAATTTATTCTTTGGACAAGTTACTGCCCACTTCGGAGTTCTTATGTGGAAACTTTTGAGGGAATAAAAAGACTGTGACATTGTAGATATGCGATTGGTTGTAAATTTGGCACTGAATCACATGCATCCTCGATGTATCTTGATTGCTTTACTTTATAATCATAATTTTTCAATTGGAATACTTCCCTAGAGTTTGTATTTTAAATATCCAGTTTGAATATATATATATATCTTATGTAATTACACACCAAATAATAAAGAATTTATAATTAAAATGAAATAGTCATATTTTATATACCTACATAATTTAAACTTTTATAAATTTTGTATAAAAATGTAATGTACCTAGAGCAGTCAGAACAGTTTTGAAAGGAAAAAGTCGTACTTATCTGATTTCAAGATTTGCTATAAAGCTCCAGCAATCACAACAGTGTGGTACCCTGTGGATGAACATACCTATATAATATGCAAATTGACCAAATGGCAAAACAACCAGTCGCTATGATGCGCACTGACCACCAGGGGGCAGACAATGCAGGAGTGGTGGTTAGTGTGCTCCCCCTTGGTGGTTAGTGTGCTCCCACAGGGGAAGCACCACTCAGTCAGAAGCTGGGCTCATGGCTGGTGAGTGCAGAGGCAGTGGCAGGAGCCTCCCACCTGCACAGCTGCACTAAGGACCCTTTGGGGGATGTCCGACTGCCAGCTTAGACCTCCTCCCCAGGGAGGACACAGGCCAGGCTGAGGGACCCTCCCTCCTCTTCCCCCAATGCATGAATGTCATGCATTGAGTCTCTAGTAGATCAATAAAAAAGATAGCAATTCCAGATTAGATCCACATATATATGACCAAAATTGATTTTCAACAAAGGTGACAAGCTAACTCAATGAGGAAAGGACAGTCCTTTCAACAAATGGTGCTGGAAAACCAGATATCTATAGAAGGAAATGTGAGCCCTGGCTAGGTAGCTCAGTTGGTTGGAGCATCAACCCTTACACCAAGAAGGTTGCAGGTTTGATCCCTAGTCTGAGTATGGGAGGCAACAGATAGATGTTTCTCCCTCTCTCCCCTGTTCCCACCCTCCCACACAAATCAATAAAAACATACTCTTGGATGAGGATTAAAAATAAGAAATATGAGACCCTTCCACAATGTGATCTAGATGTGAGCCAGAACAGACACTGCTTCCCCGTAAGCCCACTCAGAAATTTTCATTTCAACCTCTCCCCTACTCCCTTCACCACCCCACCCCCACATCACATGCTGATCCTGGGACAGGGCGGCAATACATCTTCCCTTATCTGGGATGAGTCAGGCCCCAGTGCCCCATCCATCTTGCCAAATTCTTCATGATTTTTTGGCGATTGCCAAGCTGCACAAAAGATATCCATTTGTCTTGCCTTGTAGGTAAAGTTCCCTTAATAAACACTTTTAACACTCAAGTAGTCTGCCTCTTTGTTTTTTCCTTCCCTCTGCTTACAGAAGTAAATTTTCAGACCCTTTTCCCTGGGTCTGCATGTTATAATGTTTGTGTACCTTAAACTTGTACCTATACAATACTGTATGTCAATTATATCTCAATAAAAGTGGAAGAATATAACCTTGCTCCTTCATAGCCTACATAAAGTATAACTTAAAATGAATCATTGACCTAAACATAAAAAACTAAAAATATAAAACATGTAGAAAAAAATACAAGAGAAACTTTTTTGCAACAATAGAATAAGCAAGGATTACTAAATATAGTAATATGTGATTTACTAAAGCAAAACAAAAAAAACAAAAGAACAAGACAACATGGAAAATAAGGGAAAAAATGTATAAATTGGACTTCATCAAAATAAAAGAAACACCTTAGAAAATGACAAGTTAGTCATAAACTGGGAGCAAATATCTGACACATATAAAGGATGCCCCCAAAAAATGTATACACACTCTGAATGATGATAAAGTTAGTGTTTATTTACATATGGTTCATTTTCAAAATTTAAAAGCATCTACAAAAATTAATATTCTTTTTAGTCAGTGACCATTTTCAAACTGATGACTGTTCTGGTCCAGGCACTGCTGATAACCCAAAGCAATGGAATTGCAAACATCAAGAATCAGTTCTTTCAGTATTTGTGTGCTCTCAATTTGTCAACTGTTGCCAGTTTTATACCATAACTTTATCTTTTATGTGTCCCCATTAAAAAGTCTAGTGGATAATTTTTCTTTGTTCAAAACTTAGTCTGGCTTCATCCATCATTTCAAATCAGTTAAACCTAAAAAGAATTGAGCTATCCACTGTTAAAGTGTGTATGCATGTTTTGGGGACATCCTGTATATGTCCTTTATACTAAATGTGTTTTTTATGTATTCTGCGTATCAGTCCTTTGTCAGATAAAAAAGAAACTGGTTGTTTTTGACCAGTGAAAACCAGATTCTATAGTAAGTTACAATTAACAAGCTAATATATATATATATATATATATATATATATATATATATATATATATATATAAAAGGCTAATATGCTAAGTGTCTGGCTGGTCGCTATAATGTGCACTGACCACCAGGAGGCAGATTCTCAATGCAGGAGCTGCTGTGACGCACACTGGCCATTTACAGAGAAACAGCACCAAGGACCTGGTGTCCACAAAGCAACACTTGGCTTCCCCCAAGTGGGACACAGGCCCTGCCACCACCCTGGAGTGACACCCCACCAAATCGTAGCTGATGCTGCTGAGACCCCACCATGCAAAATGCAGCCCAGTGCCAGTGGCTGTGGGTACTGGGTATGATGTCATGTAGCAATGCCTGGCTTCCTCTCCCTAGCAACTAGCCTCCTTGCAGTTTCTTCAGCCCAGGAACACGGCTTGCTTTATAGCCAGGTCCAAACATTATACACTTTAACCAAATGCCGTGAAGTGTTTTCCCATGCCTCATCTCATTTGATCCTCATAGAAGTCCTGGAGTCAGTAGATAGGAGACTTGACTAAAAAGAAGAAATGGTGGACCTTGAAAACGACTTCAGGTTTTCTCTGGGCAGAATATACTGCTGCAGTTAAATATTTTACCCTTTCTTCTCTTTGTGTGATTTACAATAATAATCTGCTTTGTATTGATATTTACTGCTGTATTGCTCACAATTACCTGAAAGAGAAGTTGGGTGTTTCACTGGGCTGGAAAAAGTTTAGCTACATCAGAAAGCAGGTCTAATTAAAAAAAGCCTATTAACTGTGTCCGGTCATTCAGTTGTCTGTTCAACCAAAGTATAATATATGCTCATGATATGCTAAAGCTGCTCAACTGCTTGCTATGACATGCACTGACCATTAGGGGCAGATGCTCTTACAAGTAAGTGAGCTTGCTGCTGGGATCCAGCTGATTGGGACTAAGACGGGCAAGACATGCCCTGGAGCCCACCCACAGTCCCTCCCTGGCTGGCCATCCTCCCACATCTGTCCCTGGCCTCAATAAAGCACCAGTGGGGTCCCTCAGCCTGGCCTGTGCCCTCTGGCAATCCAGGACCCCTTGAGGGATGTTGGAGAGCCGGTTTTGACCCGATCCCAAAGGCCAGGCTGAGGGACTCCACTGGTGCCCGAACTCGTGCACCAGGCCTCTAGTACCCTGTTTCCCCGAAAATAAGACAGTGTCTTATATTAATTTTTGCTCCCAAAGATGCGCTAGGTCTTATTTTCAGGGGATGTCTTATTTTTCAATGAAGAAGAATACGGTACACATTTATTGTTAAATGAAAATAAAGGAAATTTATTACCTGTATATGGTATGGTAGTATGGTAGTTGTCAACACAAACCAGACAAACTGTGAATCCTACAGTATGAAGAATTTACTCATTTATTCAATGACAATCATGTCATCTTCTGGAACATCATCATAACAATCCAATTCCTGAATTTCCTGGTGAATTTCTTGTGACTCCATTTCTTTCAGAATCAGTGGACCGAATCTCTCATGTTTAGCCTAGGGGGGGCTTTATTTTGGGGGGAATGCTTTATATTTCACTCAGAAGGAAACCTGTAAGTATGTCTTATTTTCAGAGGATATATTATTTTTGGGGAAACACGGTGTGTGTGTGTGTGTGTGTGTGTGTGTGTGTGTGTGTGTGTATATATATATATATATATATATATATATATATATATATATATATCTGGCACCAGTCACACACGTGTGTTTCCATCTGTCATTGTTGATCATGAATTTAGTTGACACTTCTATTATAGAGAAAGGGAAAACAGCATGAAAATATTTCTTTAATTAATGTCCTTTCAATGTACACGAATCCATGCACCGGGCCCCTAGTATTTATATAATCCTTTACATTCATAAACCCTATCTAAAAAAAGAGTAATATTCAAATTAATGATCACTCTGCTACATCCACCAGTCATGCCCACCAGCCAATCATGAGCAAATATGCAAATAAACCCAACCAAGATGACTACAGCTAGAGAGAGCAGGAGGAAAACCCAAGCAGCAGGCTTGGGTTTTCCTGGCAATGGAGGAAGCCAAGCTTTCTGCCTGCCCTTGCCAGCCTAGGCCTCCACTCAAGGCTACAAAGTTCCAATGATAGAAGGTAAACAAATCCAAACAGAAATGGCAGCAGCCACGGAGCTGGAAGAGCGGGAGGCTAGGGTTGCTTCTGGTGATGAAGGAAGCCAAGCTTTCACAACACCCTGGCAGGCCCAGGCCTCCGCTTAAGGCTACAAAGTTTCAATCATAGAAGATACATAAATTCCAACAGAAATGGCTGCCACCAAGGAGCAAGCAGGAGGCTTGGCTTTGTTCCAGGCTATAAAGTTTCAATTGTAGAAGGTAAATAAATTCCAGATTCCAGGGCCTCCACTTGGGTTGCCAGGGGGTATGGCTGGCCTGCAAACCACCACAGGCCCCTCGCTCAGGCCGCCCCACACCCCAAGGGAACCCTCACCCTG